CGACCTATTCCCCCAAAAATTGTTGTATTCTGCCGGGAAGTCTTCTATGGTAAAATCAATACTTTGGAAAACTTACAGAAAAAGAGACCCTCGCTTTGTCTTTCCCCAAATTGGTGTTCCTTGTGTAAGACCGAGAATGAGGACTATGTACATTTGTTGATCTCCTATTCCTTTGCTACAACTATATGGAGGTGGAGCCTTTGTTTATTTGGAGGTAGGTGGTCTATGCCTTCTGATTCAAGCTTGTTATTCAACCCATCTGTCTTTGTTTGGCACACTAGAAGAGGTAAGGTCATGTSRAAATGTGTYAGGRCAGCCACTCTGTGGACTCTTTGGGAGGAAAGGAATGCAAGAATTTTCTTAGAAAAGAAAAGAGGGTTAGATGAAATGAAGGATTGTATCCTAATAAGAGCAATCCATTGGCTAAAAACTATGGACATCTTTGATGACTTCTCCTTTGATGATTTGTGGAGGAATTGGCTAGTAATAACTAACACTTCAACAAAGAATGATAGAATTCTGTCAAAATGGATTCCGTCTTTGGAAGGTGTCATCAAGCTAAACTTTAATGGAAGCAGCCAAAGCAACCCCGGGCCTTCAGGTATAGGGGGTATCCTGAGAAATAAGGACAACAACATAATTTCCCTATTCTCAGGCCGGTGGGAGTGGGGGATTCCACAAGGGCAGAAATCCTTACTGCAGTACAAGGAATTCAGATCGCCAACCAGCTTGGGGTRGAGMATCTCCTAGTTGAAGGGGACTCTCAGGTGGTAACAAGGTGGCTCCTAAACTTGGATACCACCATTTGGGGCTACAAAGATCTCATAAAAAAGTAAAGTGGTTAACTAGCAATATGAGAGTTGAGGTAAAATGGGTTAGTAGGTCTGCTAATTCTTTGGCTGGTGCTTTAGCCAAACAGGGGGTTTATAGGGAAGATATTTTTTGTGCTTCTATGTAAGTTGTTATTAATTTGGAAATCTGTACTTAACTAGCCCGGAGATGTTGCAATTCGTGCCTTTTCTTGGGGACTTTGTACTATTGTTTATTGTTGTTTAATAAAATTATTTCAATTATAAAAAAAAGGTAGAAGGTAGAAGGGCAGCGGCAGATCTGGGTTCCTGAAACCATCAAGTTCAAACCCTCTTCATCCTCATGCATATGTGTAGTGGCAGATCTGGTAAAGGTAGAAGGGCAGAAGGTAGAAGATGAAACCAGCAGTGGCATTACCAGCAGTGGCATTACCAGCAGCGGCGATTACCAGCATATGCATGAGAGAGGATGAAAACAAAACCAGCAACGACAGATGCTTTGCCGGTTTCCATACGCAGAAGGTAGAAGGTAGAAGGGCAGCGGCAATTACCGGCAATGGCGATTACCAGCAGCGGTGGTGGCGGTGGTGGCAACGATGAGGAAGACGAACTCGAGTTTTCTCGAGTTTTTCCGATTACACAAAATTGGGATCTCGCATCCCACTTTTTTCTCATCCCATCCCCCTGTTTCCCTTGAAACAAACAAGAGAAAAATGAATATTTTTAGAATATTCCTTTTTTCTCATCCCCATCCCACAAACCAAACGGAATTTTAGGAAAAATGACGGTTCAACCCAGGGTCAGAATTTCTATGCTCAAAGTACAGTTGGGGTAGGTGCCAGGTTGGAATTGATGTCAATTCACGAGTGGGCATTGGTGTATAAAGTGGGGTTTTTGACATTGGTGTATAAAGTGGGGTTTTTGACATTTTGATTGGTTATAGCTCTGCAGTGGACTTCAGAAATCTGCATTGGGCCTATCCGTACTTTTCCAAAAGCTTTATTAATGATTAAGAAAGAGAGAGAGGGGGCATGAAAAGGTAAATAGTGAAAGAAAGAAATACTCATTGCTGAAGAAAACTAAGAGCCTAAGAAATCAATAGAAACCTGATATTCCAATTACAGAAAAAATCAAGGGAATGAGAGCAAGGAAAAATAAGAAAAGATTTTCATTGCAAAATCAGGGAAAAACATAAACTCAAATTTAGAAGGCTAAAAATCATCAGGATCTAATGTAACTTTGCTTCAGATTTGACTTTGTTCAGTTTGCTTCTACTGTGTTTGGTTGCAATGCAAATAAATTTGCACTGATACAAGACCATGGCAGTGCAAATGATTTGAGTGTAAATTCTGACATGTTTTTGTTTCAAATTTTAGTTTATTTTATCTGATTGCAGTATAAATGAAGTAAACTAAGACGTGAAGCAGAATAAAGTAAAATCTAAAACAAAATTAAACAAGAATTTGCATTTTTTACATTTGCACTCCCATGCATTTGTACTACTGCAAATAAAATTACACTGCAACCAAACACAGCAGTAAAATGGGAAACAAAATGATGCAAGTCTCCACTATGAGACAGGTTGAAAGCAGGAAAAATGTGAAGTAAAATGATGCAAGTCCCCACTATGAAACAGATTGAAAGCAGGAGAAAGGTTGTTGGGAGAAGTAAAATGTGAAGTAAAATGATGCAATTCCCACTTGTGAAAGGAAATAAAGGTAGGCAGAAGGTAGTGCAAATTTTACAGTAGTCAGTTTTAGGCTCAATTTGAAAGGAGTACAAATACAAATATGTAGAATGCAAATCCTTGTATTTTGTATGTATTTGGACTGTATATATTTGTATTTGTACTCTTTCCAAATGCAGCTTAAGATGCAAAATTTGCACCGCCAAGATAAAGGTGCAAACTTTGCAGGAGGCAAGATTGCAAGAGTGCAAATTATAGTTACAACTTACAACTTAAAAGCACAGATCTGAACCAGATGCAATTTGCATTGCAAACGAATAGTGCAAAGTTCACAAAAAACAGAAATGCAGAATAGAGTAGATAAAACAAAGCCATTTTTGAATCCTCAAAATGGTAAACTCTTCCTTTTCTGGAAGAGTCAAATCAAAATTTATTAGCAATTTATAGTTTGAATTACAAAAGCAGCAAAAGGTAATTAGATCCATACAAAAAATTGATATGTCCCAAACATCGGAACCAGTTTAAAGAATACTTCTTTACCAAATGCCACTCCACTAGGCCTGTAGGGCCATATCTTCTATTAAGCAATAGATCATCCAGTCTCTTGTCACTACTTGCAAACCACATCCATTTTCGGTTTTAGAGCCATACAGGCCCCAAACTATTCCCCATAACTCATCAGTACAGTTCTTGGTCTGTTACACACATGACCAATGAAACCAATTCTTCTCCAGCCCCAGCCAAAACAGATGAAATATAACCCAACCAAATGTTGTCAACAGCAGCTAAGCATCGGCCTTCTTGAAAATGAGGGATAAAACTAATTATCCCTAGTTGAAGGATTGAGCTTACTCATGATTGAAGAGCATCATCCATTGAAACAAAACTTCCAACATGGTGACTAACTGGTCTCTACCATAAGAGGTGCTTCTTCAGAAGAAGAGGACCAAAATGGTGAGAGTGCCACAACTTTCCCGATGATGATCAATGTTGGGGATACAAGCTCCGCCTTTGTAACTTCATCAACAAGATTATTCAATTCAGAAAACACCTATACCCAGGAAAAAGAAAGTGGAAAGTTAATGACTAGCAAATTTCAGGCAGTCACCTTTAGAAAACTCAGAAGCACAGAAACAGAATTGGCCAAGGAAGACAAAATGTAACCATGTTTGCTCACCATCCGTTGTTGAGGTGTAGTCCCTCGCTCTACTGCAGCAGCAGGTGTATTGTGTGGTAGTCCATGATGCATCAGTTTTTGGGTGAGAGAAGGTAGAGTCGCCAAGCCCATGTAGACAACCAGAGTTGAATCAGGATCAGCTGCATGCTCTGCTACAAAAAGAGGATCAGTTCCTCCTTTCCTTGAGTGCCCCGTCAGAAATCGAACACTATTTGCAACACCACGATGGGTCAACGGGATTCCCAGCTCTGCTGCTATTCCTGAAGCAGCAGTGATACCTGAACGATAATAAAGACAGATATCAAACTTGAATTCCCAGTTTGGTGTCCATTGCTTCAGCTACAGAGATCAACTAACAGTTTCAATTCAATTCCGTGAGAAGAGATAATCTCACTCTACTGTACCTGGAACAACGCTCACTTGAATCCCTTGTTGTTGCAAAAAATCCATTTCTTCTCCACCCCTTCCAAATACCTATAAATAATAAGCCCACGCAACATTTCAGAGGAGACCCCCTCCGAGATTAAATAACATTTCCAAACTAAGTCACTTAAACTGTTTATATAAGCATTCAACAACAAAAAGTTACCAATGGATCCCCTCCTTTTAGCCTCACGACTGTGGCGCCAGATTCAGCAAAACTCAGAAGCAACTCATGAATCTCCATCTGCAAAACCTAACATTTTAATTTAATGCAGAACAAACCAATACCTAAAATCCGATTCGAATAAGAAGCAAAATAAAATCTCCAGAAACAAAAATAAGAAACAAAGAGGAGAGCAAAAAATTATAAACTTCATTTTTGAAACCCAGAATAAAACTAGGAAAAGCGCGCAATCCGTAATTAAGGAAGGTCCAAAAAAATGGGCATTGGATTTGTATATCAAACCTGAGTTCGGCTATGGTACCCAGCAGTCTTCCCGACATAGAGAAGCCTAGCATCTGGTTTCACCAAATTTAGTACATCATTGGACACCAGTCGATCATACAAAAGAAGATCAGCACTCTCAATCACCCTCAATGCCTTCAGCGTTAAGAGCTCCGGATCTCCAGGTCCAGTCCCGACCAAGAACACATTTCCAGGTCCTCTATTTCCTCCATTGGGACCTTCAGTCCCTCGTTTCTCTCTCAGGACTTGTAGCAGCTTCTTAAGCTCGGGTAGTTGCAGAGCTATATCGTTCTCCCGGATGGAGCTGGAATCAGTTGGGAGAGAACAAGAATCGTGGAAAGGTGCGTCTTTGTACAACCATCCATCTCGTTGGTATCTCTCAAGGGAGTGTTTTTCTGTAAAGGGAGAGGAGGAGGAAGAGGAAGAAGAGGAAGGGGAATAGGATAAGGAGGAGAAGGGGTGTAGATTAAGGGGTCTGGGTTTGCTAGGACGGGGCGAGCAGAAAGGAGAGAGATGTGGGAGTCGCTTGACAAGCGCCATGTTGGATCAAACGACTCCAAGGAAGGGAAAGCAGAGCAGGGATCTTTCTTATTTTATGGACTGAAGATGAATCCTGAGAGCTGAGAGTTGAGAGTGTTATTTTGAGAAACTGAAAAGGCGAGGCGGCTTTTGGGACGTTCAGAGAGGCGGAATATCTTTGTGGGATTCGCACTTCGCTGGTGGAAATGCGGAGGTACTTGGACAGGAAAACGGGTAAAATACTGAAATTCTGAAAATCTGAAGTGCGTATTTTACGGTGAAGACTGAAGAATTGTCATCTTTGACACACCACGTGCCTGTAATAAGAAGATGGGACTCACTATATGCCAAATGGGTTCTGCCACGGAGATTTTATAAGTGGGCCAAAAATCAAACTTCAAAAGTTCAAAATTCCATACCGGTTCCAAGTCTTTCTTTGGGTGACCCTCTGGGATGGACTTGTCACAAAAAGTAAGTGCCCCTGATTATTAGAAGGACAAACTTTGTGCATTTTGCAACAGTCAAGGGGAGACCACACACCACCTCTATTTTCAATGCCCATTTGCACGGGCTTTATGGTGCGGAGCCTAGATCGGCTTAAATCCTTCTACAATTCCACAGTCACCCACCCATTCACATCATCGTTCAGGAATAGTACAATTCACTGGCTCAAAACCTAGGGAAGCAACAAGCATCAACGAGTCTAAGCAAGTTTGCAATAATCATTTATTGCATATGGGAAACTAGAAACAAATAGATATTTGAGAATGCTAGACAGGAGCCTTTACAGGTGGTTAAGACAGCAAGCAACTTCCTTTTCGAGTGTAAGACGTCTACACAATTATCATTTCAAGACCATCAAGTTCATCGCAATAATCTACCCATTCTATGTTCTGATGGTTCTTTTGATCCAGTTACGTTACAGGTCACACAGGACGTGGGTTCATCCTCTAGCAGGCCAATGAGCAATCCATCTATGCAGAAAGCAGACCCTGTTGGGCCATCAGTAGCTACGATGTTGAAATACGAGCCCTTCTGACCAGGCTGCAAATGGTGCTTTCAAGAGGAATGTTGCATCTTTTGGTCTATACAGACAGTACAGAGCTAGTTGACTTTGCCATCATAGATCGCGTAAAACACTAGGTAGAGCAGTTGTATACGAATTTGATGTAATCGTTTTTGGTCACGTACCATTTTTTGTGATGTATAAAATTTTTTGGCTAAGTACCTCGTTGTTTGACCCGGTGGTGGCGCCTTGGTGATGAGTTACTTGGTGACGAACTGCCTGGGGGCGGACTGCCTGGTGGCGAATTGCCTGGTGGCGAGTTGCCTGGTGGCGAACTGTCTGGTGGCGAGTTGCCTGGTGGCGAACTGCCTAGTGGCGAACTGTCTGGTGGCGAACTACCTGGTGGCAAACCACCTGGTGGCGAACTCCCTCGTGGCGAACTGCCTGGTGGACTCGTCACTTGACTTGCTCCTAAGCGGCTTACAACTCAGAGGATGGTGGAGCTCCTTGGTGCAGCGCAACCCGACTACCCTTCGCGTGAGGTGATTTCCTCTCCTTTGTAGGTAGCGGGAACTGAGGGACCTACGAGAACTGAATCAGAGAACCCGGGGGTACTTTCCCGACGGGGATTCTCCGATGCCTAAGTTAGCATTCTGATTGCAGAGAGCTTGGAGAGAAATGAGAGAGCTAGAGAGCAGGGGTTACCCTCCTTTTTTTCCTCCCCCTCCCCTTTGAGGGGTGAGGTCTTTATATACCGGAGTCCTCGCGGGTTAGGTGGGTGAAAAGCCTCCAAACGGTAAGACTCGTCACATCCCATCAGAACCGGGATACGGTGCTGAACTCCTCGAGGTCGTCAGGCTGGCGCTTGCGTCAGGCGGCCAGGTCGGCGCCTGGGCCAGGTTGTCAGGGCGGCGCCTGCGTCAGTCGGCGGGTCGGTGTCTGGGCCAGGTTGTCAGGTCGGCGTCTGTGTCCGGGTCAGGTTGTCAGGTCGGCGTCTGTGTCAGTCGGCGGGTCGGTGTCTGGGCCAGGTTGTTAGGTCGGCGCCTGTGTCAGTCTGTGGGTCAGTGTCTGGGCCAGGTTGTCAGGTTGGCGCCTGTGTCAGTCGGCGAGTCGGTGTTTGGGCCAGGTTGTCAGGCAGGAGATCTTCCTGCGATACTTGGGGACGAACTGCTTAGTGGCAAGCTGCCTATGCAATGCCGAGTTGTCTAAGTTGCCAGGCTAAGGGTGAACTGCTTGTGGCGAGCTGCCTATGGCGAGCTGCCTGTGACTAGCTGCATGTGGCGAGCTGCCTAGTTATCAAGAGGCTACACTTAATTGGCATGAGGTGCCAGGTGTCACAATTTCACTGGAGGGCCAAATCTACCCTCATCAGAATTATCTAAGAAGATTAATATCCTATTTTGAAGCTATATATTTTGTACATATGCCTAGATGTTACAATCAAGCACCTCATACTTTTGCTTATATTTTCTGTAAAGGCCAATTAAAAGTATCTTATAGCAACTCGGCCCCGAACCATGTAAGTTTTTCAATTTAATATAAAAAAAAAAGTTCAAATATAGGTCCAATGAGGTAAGTAGTTGGGTCATATGTAAATGCAATAATGTTGTGTTCAAGAATTCACATCTGCGCTTCACAGTATATTCCAACAACATCTTTTACCAACTTCGGAAGATGTTTTCTGTTTTTTTTTATTAAATCTTATAAAAAAAAATTAATGCATGCTCACCTGGATAATTTATCGCCAAATCGAACACTGTATTTTTAAGTACCCGGACAGTGTTTCCCCGAAGAATCACTTCCCCATGACCATTAACTCAGATGATGGAATTATCAAAATCACCACATGAACTTTCCTTAATTTCTTTTCCTCGCTTTCTTCTCTTAAACCAAAAAATACTTCCATTTCCTTCAAACAAAATTAGATAAAATAATTTTTTAATTCTTCATTCAGTTTCAATGACATGAATGTATCTCTTTCATCTTAAAATATAAAAATCATTATCTACTCCTTTTTCCAATAAATCAAAAAAAATGAAAAATAACCATAAATTTATATATATTAAAAAGAAACATCTACCATTTCATTTGAATATTGAATCGGGCCAGAAATCTACAAATAGGACTCCAAATAAATAAGAAAATGATAATTTAGTGATTTATAAATTTTAAACATCTGAATGAGAATCTTTTTAGAAATTAATTGTGCAAACGAAAGTTCAGGAGCACTGAACCTATAGTACAGTGGTTATTTATAATTTACCCTTAATTTAATGCACATATATAGCTCTTATGGTTCACGGTGAACCACAAAAAAGGACGCTTCTTCTTCATGGGAGAGTTAAAATGAAGCTTCTGAGGAAAGCTCCTTTTCTAATTTCCACCGCACAACTCACAACAGTGCTGCAGTCGCACTTGAAGAATTCAGAGTTCTTACTTTAATTAAACCCAAACGAATTGTTGGGAACTAGAGGCATAACGACCCATCATTACTGCGATCGCATCGCGGCCATCTTCATCATAAAAAGAGCTAGCGTGTCCACGACAAGGCCAGGCCTACTACAATCGAGAAAGATTTGAGTTGATGGGGAAGTAAGAAACTGGAATGGAAGCTCCAGCTTTCTTCTCCCTGCTTTTAGGTTTCTCCTGCGGATTTTTCGATTCCCTTTGCTCATGATCTACGCCTTCAATTTCGTTGGAGACGCGTGATGACGGTGAAGGTGAAACGAAGCACCTAAATATGTTTGGCAGCATTGAAGCCATTTTCTTGCTTTTTCTATACCACTAGAATAGGAATTGGATCTAGAATTAGAAATGGAGGATTACCGGAGAGAATTGCACGAGACTTTGGGTGATTTGAGTGACAGAAGAAGGAGGGATGTTCACTGTTCAGGGGTGGTTTACAGAGAAAAGGCTTATGGGAGGTGGAAGACTTGATTTGAGTAAGAGGAGTGATCCTGGGTGGTTAATTTATATAATAGTTGGAACTTGGAAGTATTCAAATGACTCAAATCAAGCAGTTGAGCTTGCAGAGAAAGTTAAATACTTTCTGTCAGCCGCCCGGTGTTAGTATTCTGTATTGACTTCCTTCTCTATGCGTATTTTTTTTATGCTTCGTCACAGCTTCCCTGTGGCGGCTTTGGATTTCTGGGCCGTTGGGTCATGGATGGCTCATGTATAATGACCCATAGGCATAACACGCAACCATGTGAGGGTCCCTTCTTTGATTTACAGTCTCAATCCCTTGGAATCGAAATTTGAAAGGTTTATTCTAATAGTGCGTTTGATTGTTCAAATAAGAGAATGTCATTCTATGGGAAATAGGAATGAGATTCCAATTCTATTCAACCAAATAGTTGCAAGCAAGACATGAATTCTGTCAACCGGAATGGATCTGGTTCTGGTTCGTGACAGGATAGATCAGTCCCAAATTGATTATTAATCGGTCTATAGAATAGACCCTGAGCCAAATTAAATTTTAATTGGGACAATCGGATGACCCAATTATAATTGACATGTATAATTAGATAATAACAGCTTGAAAATTAAATTTTAATTACATAACCTTATTATTAGATATTTAGACATAAAATATAACAAAAATTACAAAAAAAAAAAAAAATTATAAGTTCCGTATTAAGTGCAGGTCTTTCATACAGTAGCTTCTGGATTTCATTCAGCCAAGAAAGCAGCTTTCCAGTGAAGCTGATTTTAGCATCTTCTTCCAATCAGTTGAGAGAAAGCAGCTCAATCAAAGCTGAAGTGCTGACAAATTGCGAATCGAGAAAACCAATCCGATCCAATTATTAATTGGAACACAAATCACAAAACCAGAATCAATATAAATGATATGATCGGTTCAATTATTGAATAGACCCAGCCCATTGACAAATCTAAGATTTGAAAGGCGCAAGTTCAACCCAACCTAGGTTAAAAATATCATATGCTGGAAGCTTCCTTTGAACCTTCTCATGGAAATGCAGAACCATTCAACAAAAACATCAAAGAAGAAGTCTAAGCAATGCATCATAGAGGTATTCATGTAAATCCAAAAAACTGAAAATCTTGATAGTAACTTAAATGCTAAGTTGTATCAAACACTTTGGATCAAATCTCATTGCCATCAAGGTTAAAGAACTATAAGAACATTTTTTAAGTAATCGT